CACCTCTTTTTTTCCCCCCCTTTTTCTTTTTTCCTTTTTTTTTTTTTTCTTTTTTCTTTTTTTCTGGAAGTCTCAGTCTTTTGATTGTGTGTTTCCTGAAAGCAAGACCAATCATTTCAGTTTATTCACTGGCTAAACTCTACTTGATTGGGGACAAGCACACAAACCATCCATTACGATCTGATATATTATCCAAACAATTTAGTGTATTCATGAGGTAACCTAAATGTGGAGGCTGCAAAATTACCCGTAATCAATTGAAACAGCGAGTGCGCGTCCCTCTGTGTGTCTAACAACTACATGTCTCTGTAATAAGGCAGACATTAAATCATTTTAGAGTTGTACTGTTGAGTACCTGATCACTGGGCGCTCTGGGAAGCTGGACACTCACATTAGGACGCTGGGACTGAGGAAGCCGCTGCTTTTCCAGTGGGATAAAACCCAACCTTCCTTACTCAAGGTGCTTTACAGATCCCCACCGATCTGACCCTAAGCCGTGCAATATCCAGCATAGACTTCGCCTTCTTCTTCTGCTCTTCTGGTTTTGTTTTTTTTGTTGTTGATTTGATTGCACTACATGTTTGGGAAACAAGACAAAATGGACGTTAGATGCAGTTCAGAGACTGAAGCTAACCGGGTCTCGAAGAACGGACATAAGGAGGGCAAGGAAAGCAAAGGGTCTGAAGGAAATATTTCTACTTCTTTTTTGAAGGATCAGCAAGGGACTTTTTCTGCCTCTGCAGCTACGGAAGATTGTAATAAAAGTAAATCTAGTTCGGCCGATCCGGACTATTGCAGGAGGATCCTAGTTAGAGGTATGAGTTTGAGGTATTTGGCGAGGGTGGGGGAAGGTGAGCTCCGTTCCCGCCCGGGAGATTCGGTGATCGTGTTGCTTTCCCTGTGGTCCTTCCCGCGGCCCCGGGGGCTGGAGCCTCCCGCCCGGCGGGCTCTGCCCCGCAGCCCCGTTCCAGCCCGGCGTTATCGCCCTGATTGCCGCCAGCGGCTCGAGGGAAAGTTAAGCTGCGGAGGTTCCTCCCCGGCTTTGCCCCGTGCCGGGCCAGCCCCGCTCCGCTCGGGGTGGCTCGGTTTTTCTTTCCTTTTGAAAATTATTTTTGGTTTAACCTTTTTTGTGTTTGTTCCTTTCTTTCTCCCCCCCCTGTTTTGCAGCTTTCTGGGGGTCCCTGCACCCTCAGGAAAAGCCAGCAGGGCCTGCAGGGCTCCTTCCGCGCCCGCGCATCCCGGCCGCGGCCGCGGACAATGGCGCGGGGCTGCGGTTCCCGCCCGGCTCCCGCAGCTCCTCTCCCTAGGGCTGTTCCCCTCTCTCCCCCAGCCCAGCATCCCAGCAGAAAGGGATCTTTTCAAACAACCACCAGCCTTAAAACCCACGGAGGAATGACGAAGGGCTTTTGAATCGTTTATTTATTTATTTTTTTAACGCTAAAACGTTTTATTTTCCTCTACCCTCGTCTCTCTCCCAGGCTAAACTATTCAAATAATTCTATTCCTAACCCTTAAAAAAAAAATAAGAATAAATAAATAGATGTATTACCTGAAGGTATTTCAGTTTTATTCGGGGGAGGAGGGAGAGAACAGAATAGGAAAAAAATGAGTGCGGAACAGGCCTTGTAAACAATAATTAATCCTTGCGCGACCGATTGACCCAGAGAGGGGTCAGATTAAAATGATGTGGTTGTCTCCGATTTAAAAGGTACCGGAGAGGTAAAATTACGGAGAGCCAAGTTGGGAAGGCTTTCATGTAACGTGAATCTGTCTCCAGCTTGACAGTCGCGTTAATAAGATTTGTCCCGCTTCTCTTTGGGTCGGGGCTACCGGGAAAGTGAGGTTTCTGAGGGCTGCTTGGTGCTCCTTTGGGTTTCGGTTTTGGTTTGTTTGTTGTGTGGGGATTTTGTTGTTGTTATTGTTGTTTTGGGTTGGGTGTTTTTTTCCCTCCTTCTTCTCCTCATTGCCAAAAGTCCGGAGCGGCGAAGGCGGTGATGCCTTCCCCGGGCTGCTGGGTGGGCTGGAGGTGTCCCCAGCTTGGCCGTGGGCACCCAGCCAGCTCGGGGGCAGCCCTGCCTGTGCCCTGGAAGTCCCTGCCTGCTTATTCCTTGCATGTGAAACTTGTTCTTAAAAAAAAAAACAACAAAAAAACATAAATAAAATAATAATTATAAGAAGCAGGTTTAATATTCCGGCGGTTGCTCTGTGTGGCTGTGGCAGCTTCCAGCAAGCCCTAACCCGGAGCCCAGGGGGAACAAAGAGTAGCCCTGCACTCCAGGCACAAAGCCCGGCCTGGAGAATCTCTCCCCGGCCTCCCAGAAGGGCCGGGGGTGATGCTGCACTGCCGTACTCTCAGTGCAACATATTCAAGACAATTTTTAAATGGTCTGAGGGGATTATTTCTAGAGCCCCGGGACCCCAGCGCCCCCTCCTTCCCTGTTGCTTTTTGTTTGGTTGGTTTTGGGTTTGGTTTTGTCCCTTCCCTGGGTGTAGTGGTCAGGTGCACTATCGCCAGCTCGGAGACCCTGCTCCATCCTGGCTCGGGTATCGGTCTTGAGGGCGCTGGCAGTGACTCTTTCCCCCTGAAAAATTAAAAGAAAGGGGTGAAAAAAAAAATAAATAAAAAGAGGCAAAATACAATCAAGGAGCGTTGCTCGGGTGTAAACTTGACTGCGCCTTTCTTTGCCAGATGCCAAAGGTTCAATCAGAGAGATTATCCTGCCTAAGGGGCTTGATCTGGACCGTCCCAAGCGGACCCGCACTTCCTTCACGGCCGAGCAGCTCTACCGCCTGGCGATGGGGTTACCGCGCTGCCAGTACGTCGTGGGGCGGGAGCGCACGGAGCTCGCCCGACAGCTCAATCTCTCCGAGACTCAGGTAGCCCCAGAAGGACGGGGAACCCCGGCTGCCCTGCCCCGAACCCCTCGCGGGACACCGCGCTCACCCCCCGCCCGCTGCGGGCATCTCCGCTGCTCTCCGGGCCCCCACGGGTGGGCCAGCCCCGCGCGCCTCTTGCGCGCCTCTTGCGCGCCCCCGTGCAGAGCTCGGGATCTGTCGGGCAGGGAGAGGCTGAGGCCGCCCCCGAGGTGCCCACGCGTGTCCGGCTAGGGGTGGGG